AACTCATACTGCCTTTTCTGGTCTTGGTGGTTACATTGATATCGAACCTGAAGTGAGTTTGGTCACCCGTTGCACAGCAAACCAATCTCTGACACTGGGTGTAGTGGAAGAAAGTAGGAATTTTATTATTGCACAGTGCTGAGCAAGGAGAGAGGGCAGCTAATGCTGAAATCCCAAACTCCCCAAAAAGCTAAAAGGAAGGGTTTTTATTTGGAGTTTTAAGTGGGGGAGGGGGAGCATATGGCCTTGTTGGTTGAAGCTTTCCCACCAGCCTGTCTTTGGCCTTGGCCTTGAGAAGATTTGCAGAGAGGAGGGAGCCTGTGACTTTGCTGGTCAGCAGCTTTCCCATCAGCCTGTATCTCTTTGTGGGGAGGAGATAATGAATCAGGTGCTTGTCCTTGACAGCATCTGTCTCCATGGAGGATAGTGGATTCTGGAGCCAGGAAGCCAGGGAGCAAGCAGGGAATGAGTGTTTTGGTTTTAACCCCATATACGTTGCGATTAATGTAGGGAAACTGATATCAGGGTTGGTATCAACGTCATTTTTTGTGGGGAATTCTTACAGAGATTTACATCTTCCTGAGCCACACATAGAAGCAAGACTCAATTCTTCTTTACTCTTATATCTCTAAACTTAAAGGGGGGGTGGATGTTTAGTAACCCTACAAACACATCAAACATTGTCCAAGGGTAGGAGGCAGAGCGGCAGAGACCCAAATGTTCACAACTAACTCTCCTGAATTTTCTCCCATCTCATCTTTCCAGTTTAGTGAGGGAATGCCTGGTTATATTTTCTGAAAAATATTTTCAAGCCTTTTCAACTTAGAATCCAAGGATTTTTGTGTCTTTGTTCTGGTTTCTCTGTGTCTGGACAGGAGAAATAAATTTGAAGGAACAAGTGAATAAAGCATAGGGTGGGAAGAAATATCACAGCTGTATTAGTATGTTCCATAACATCCTCTCACAGATGCTTCGCAGTTGTCCTTGGCCATTTGGCCATCTCACTAGGTCGATAATGGTCATAAATCAGTTATTAGACTCTAATAATGGCATTCGAGCTTATTACATGGGAGCTCATTTCCCTGACTAACCATTCATGCAATGACTAGCACATATTTAAAACTGATATAAATATCATTAGCTTTTTCTAACCTATTCACAAAATTGATTGAGAAGCCTGTCTCTCTTCTGTTTTTATGTAACACCATCTTTTTCTTTACTACTTTGCCATGTCTTACAGACAATAAATCTAATGCTGTTTTGAAAAATATTTATCTCTTCAGACTGGTTTTCAGTTCCAAAATTCTTTGAATGGATTAATTTATGCTGGAAAGGCTGGAAACTGGGGTTCATTTAGGGTGATAATTTTGTAACACAAATCACACAAAACTATACCAAACCAAACCAACTGAAATCAAGAGCAGCCAACCTTAGACTGGTGGGAGAACAGACAGGTTTTTGATGTGCTAGCTCATTTGTGCATATTTTTCTGCCCAGTTCCACTTCTTTTTTCTGCTCATGTTCTCTAGAGGAACCAATCTGAATCAGACTGGTGGATATGCTAGGGACTGGAAAGGATTGGAGCAAGAGAAATCTCACCATTGCCAGTCATGTTATGTCAGCTTTTCAACCTTTTCCTCTTCCTTTGGGATTGATGGATACTTTCTGGGTAGAGGGAAAATATACCTAAATTAATTAATTTTAAATATTGATTATTCCAATCACTTGAAGTCTGGGTCTAATCCAATAAATCAGAATTAAGGTAGAAAAGCCTAATCTTTCTGAAAACTCCACTGAATTCTGTCCCTAAATCACTGGTATTTTATTAAGGATGATTATCAGTGGACCAGGGGTGGGAAAGTGATTCCTTGGTTTATTTCCTTTCTCTTCCCACATTCCCCCCTACCCCAAACAATGCAATCCTTCTCAAAAGAGGACTCAGTTTTTTTGGTTGCTCTCATGGATATGAGATTTAGGTACAGTTATCTAGCAGCAGTGAGGATGCCAAGGAATGCCTTGAAGTTCTTTAGACTCTCCATCTCTTTAGCACCTTCATCCTTTGATCAAAAATTTCTTTTCACAATCTGTCATGAAGTACTGTGCAAACTCACCTACCTGTTTGCCACTCTAAATCTACTTTTGTGTAGAATTTTCATATTCTTCACCATCAGGCAATATTTTTGGGAGACCATAAAGGGGAAGCCTTCTAAGAGCATGAGGTATCATGACTATGCTGGTTGGGGGCTTCACCTGGCTTTTTCTTTTTACATTGGTGGATGAGGGAATGAAGTTTTAAAAGTCTTTAAGTGTAAATTAAAGGATAACTCAAGACGGTTATTGAGTTAGGAAGCAGTATTCTCTATTTTATGACTAAAATTTAAGAATTTGTTTTCTAAGTGTTATTGGAAGAGATGCCAACATTATTATGAGCCTGTTAATTTATTAGCTCCTGCTAATAAATTTGTGAGGTAAGAATACTTTGTGAGGTAGGAATACTTTTTTGTCGACCCCAGGAATGGCTTTTTAGGTCTTTTACTTATTTGCTTCTGGGTTTCCTTCAGATCTCTGGGAAGCAAGGGTTTAAGCTTTAGCATCCAGTAACATATCTTTTATAAGAAGCTTCCCCTGTGTCTCCTAGCCAAGTACACAAGGGTGAGGCATCCATTGATAAAGCAGTACAGGCTCAGTTCAGACTCTGTAAAATGCAGAGGCGAGGGCTCACAAGCAGTGAGAGCTGCAGTCAAGAAAAAGGGAACAAAGTGCCCCACAGATAGGGCTGTCCCCAAAGAATATGGTACACGTAGTTGTGATGTAGATGTGTAGTTGGCCTGGTTGTGATCTGCTGGGTCAAATTAGTTTCTGAGTTCTCCATTAATTTTGTTCAGAGGCTGTAAAATCTAACATTTGCTTTCTTCAAAAGCACACATCTGCCCATCAATGTTTAAGAGACAATGATGACATGCCTCCAGAGGAAGTGGGGAAACTTGCCTGGGAATAGATGTTTTTTGTTTAGTTTAGTTTTCTTATTTATTGAGGCTTAAAACACAGAAGTGAGGTGTAGTTAACAATAACATGTTGTGCACTTAAAAATTTGTTATGACATAGATCTCAAGTTAAGTGTTCTCAGAACAATATAACAAAAGTGATTAAGTGCTCTCATCTTGAAGATACAGCTTGATGAATTTTCATATATGTGTGTACCTGTGTAACCACCACACAGATCAAGGTACAGAACCTCCCATAGCTCAGGAAGTTCCCTCAGAGACTGCCCAGTCAATCCATTCCCTATAGGTAGCCATTATCCTGATTCCACTAAAAAATTATTACTTTTCCTGTCTTTAAACTCATGTAAATGAAATTGTAAAGTATGTACTCTTTGTGTCCGGTTTCTATTATATAATGTCTATGAGATACATCTATTTGTTGTCTCCTGTTTTTAAAAAATTTGCTGTATAATAGTTCATTGTATGAATATTTTACATATATGAGTTTATTTATACATTCTCCAGATGATAGATATTTGGGTTTGTTATAGTTTTTTGTACAATGAATAAAAACTGTCATGAACATTCTAGTCTAGTCTTTGTTTGATAATTACACTCATTTCTTATATATACCTAGGAATGTAGTTAATGGGTTTTAGAGTAGATATATGGCTTTTGATTTAGTAGATACTGTCAAAAATTTTTCTGAAGTGGTTGAACCAATTTACAATTCCACTACCAATGTTTTTGAGTTCAATTGCTCCACTTCCTCATCAAGACGTGAAAACTTTGAGTATTTTTAATTTTTAGTATTTAGAATGGTTTCATTTACATTAAGTTCAAGAATGGGCTAAACTAATTTCCCCTTCTTGTAGCTTTGTTTCGTGTTGTATAAGACCGTGATGCCTAGAGCTGAAGCAGCATGGACAAGGCTGAGAATGAAATCCATTGCATGAAGATGGCATAGCAGATGGAAGGAAAGAACTTGATTCATTGGTGATTCTACTGAACTACTCAACCACCTTTGGAACCATCTATCTCCAGACCTATTGCTCTTTCAATGATAGATCTTCTTATGCTTTATGTCAATGTTTATCACATTTTTTGTTATTTGAAGATGAAAGCATGCCTAATAAATATATCCTATATTAACAAGTATTTTTTATGTCACTCAGTTCAATTTTGCTGTTCTATTCATATGAGGTCTAAGTATTCATTGTTAAGTTTAATCTGGAGGATTTTATATTGATCTTGCAACAGCAAATAGATGCTTTTCTGTGTAATACATATTTTTTGTTTGTTCAATAGCTTTTTGGTATATAGCAACTACTCATTCTATAAATATTTTAAAATTTTAACATTATTAAAGTCTCTTAGAGTTCTAATAATTTTTCATTTCTAATAGAGTTATTTGATTTTCTGGGTAGATAATTATATCATTGTCAATATTCATGCATTTTTATTTCCCCAACCAAAATTTAAATCTTATATCTTACTTTCATCTAACTGCTCTAGGGATAAATTACATAATCTTGTCGAGTAATGTGGGTGATGGTAGCTGTTCTTTTCTGGCTATTTTAACTGTAATTCCTCCAATCTGATTTTATCATGAAGCATTTCGTTGGCTATTGATTAAAGCTAAATATTTTCTATGAAATGCAAGAACACTCATTTGAACCTTTTATTTTAAACATTTTAGGTAGAAATTTTTGTGAACTTTATTCTAGGCTTCTGAGAAATCGAATCATATGTGTATTTTAACTTTTCACCCTAATTATTTTGTTGTCTTGTTGATGTACTTGTGGAAGAAAGTCTTCACATTGTTTTTGGATTAGCAGAGCACAGACTTTCCAAATGGAGATCCAAAATGAATGCCTCTACTTTGCAATAACAAGACTGAGGTGTTCAGGCAAGCTGTGGGGTCTTTCATGCATCCTGACACAGTGTAGTGGGAGGAGGAGGCAACATAAGACGAAATTGTATCTTTGCAATTATGCTGAGTAAATGTTTCTTAGTTCACCACCTAAAATATTGCAAATATTTCCCCAATCTCCTTTTCACGGCTATCTTTACCTCCTTATTCTTTAGGCTGTAGATGAGGGGATTCAGCATGGGTGTGATCACACTGTACTGCAAGGAAGAGAGCAAATCCAGGAAGGAACCGGAGGGAGGCGTGAGATAGCGAAGCATACCTGAGCCGAAGAACAGGATCACTGCAATGAGGTGGGAGGAGCAGGTGGAGAAGGACTTCCTTCTGCCTGTCTTGTAGCTGATGCTCAGGATGTTGGATATAATACGGATGTAGGAGAAGAAGATTGGAAGGAAGTTTCCAAGCCCAAGCAGTATAGTGGAGAAGGACAAGATACTGATATTGATGGAGATATCAGAGCAAGACAGAGGGAAGAGGGAGGGCAGCTCACAGGTGTAGTAGTGTATGGTTTGGGCCTCACAGAAGTCCAGGTTAATAGCCAAGAGCACAATGGCCACTGAGTTGAGAGAGGCCAGGCCCCAGGAGGCTAGCACCAGCTTCACACAAAGCTGGTTGCTCATCACTTGGCCATAGAGCAGGGGATGGCAGATGGCGGCATAGCGGTCATAGGCCATCACTGAAAGCAGACAGGCTTCATTTCCTGCAGTAAGAAACACAAAAAAGACCTGAGTCAGACAGCCCTCTACTGAGATAGTTTTCTTCTCAGATAGGAGGTCCTCCACTAGCTTGGGCACGGTGACAGAAGATAAGCAGAGGTCTAGGAATGACAGATTACTCAAGAAGAAATACATGGGCTTGTGGAGGTGGGAATCAACCCTGATCACCAGCAGCATCATCAGGTTCCCCATCAGGGTCAGGAGGTAAATCCCCAGGAAAAGCACAAACAGCAGAGCCTCGATGTGGGGGTCATCAGATAGTCCAACGAGAATAAACTCGGTGAGGGTGCTGTGGTTCCTCAAGGCCATTTGTGGAGGGTATTTCCCTGGAATAAAATAAAACAAGAGGTGAGATCTCCTCCGATTGTTTCTATCTCCTTCACAGCTTCACCCTTTCTTCTTATACATCCCTCCCTGCTCTGCCTGGATCCTGGTGCTCAGACATCTCAAAGCCGCCTTCACTGCATCTCAGTAAGAGGTTTTATTCTGTTTTGTCAATCACTGTTCTTGGATTACAGTCTTTACGTACTTACAGAGAATCCCATTCCTTTTCTGTAGGGATTTAACTGGAAAAACAAATACATCTGGCTCACGTAGACATTCAGGGTAGTTAGCTTCCACTCAGATTTTTCCTATAGTTTAGAAATCCTCATAGTCCTTTGGTTTTAAGAAACATTATAGCAAATATTTGCAGCAATTATTCTAAACTTCTCTCCTTTACTTGTTTCTCAATCATTATTTTTTTTGTTTTTATTCATCCAGTGACTTCTAACTTTCTAAACAGCACATTAAATTTTAATAAGACTTTTTTTGGTGTACTGAATAATTTCTGAATCACTATCCTAATTTTTTCTCACAGCAATTTATAGTTTATTTATGGCAGGCAATCATATCCATTTTACTCTTGAGAAATCTGATATTCAGGGAGATTTTGTAATGCCATGTTGACAACAAACAGAAAAACAGGAAGTAAATTCCATTGCTTTTTCTAGATCGGTGTCTAGGCTTGATCCACAGGTACATAGACCATCTTTCTTACCCAGACATTCAGAGTTCTTCCTTATCTGTCTTTAAGCTACCTTTCAACCAAATTGGCCACTTTCGATACCAGAAAGATCTACTTTGTTCTGTGTCTGTGCTCACATTATTCTCCATTCAAATGTTCTTCACTTTCGTCTATTTATCCAAACTCTTATGAACCTTCAAACTCACCTCAAATCCTGCTTTTTTCTTATCGTCTGTCCTGACTGCTCCCTCCTCTAAACTCACAGGCTTCTGTGCAAATCACTGGACTCCTTGTTCTCAGTTGCCTTATGTCATGGTCTGAATTCTAATTTTTTCTCATTAATGTTAAACATGGTCTCAGATTTCCCCTCCAGACTGTGAGCTCACTGAGAACCTGGATCACATCAGTAACACTCACAGATCGTCATTTCTGGTTTTGTCCCCACACATTCTGTGTTAGCTTCAGATTATACTTCTTAGAGTATTTGAAAATCTCCATATGGCATCTCATGTGTGCTTCAGAAAAACCTTCTTGACTGCTTAAGGCACAATCTCATCTTTTACTCCAACGCTCCCAAAATCACCAAACCCCTGATAGCACTGATGCCTGGCAGAAATATTGCTAATATCATCCAACCAAGTTGCCATGCTTCCGCATATGGACCATAGCTCCCGAATCTCAAGGATGCTTTTATCTGCACAGAGCAGGTCATCTGAGAATCTTTTTCTCTCCTGTTCTAGCATCCACATTTTTGTACACGAAGACAGCAACTAACTGTATCACATGATTTACGGAGCATTACAGAGAAAGGAGACCACCTTCCCTCTCCATCCTAAATGACACCTTAAACTGAGGGGATAGACTTTTGAATGACCAGGAGTAAAGCGTTGCAACTCATTCTAGGTCAGCTTGTCAGGAAAATAAGTCTGAACTTTAATCACTACGTGGAACAGCAGACGTCAGCTTCATTTCACTGGGACATGTGAGGGACTGACACGAGGTTTACACATGAGTGAGAATAGGGAATTCAAGTGAATGAAGTGGTGGTTGATCTCAGCAGAGGGTAAAGGATGTGAAAGGAGGATTCCAGAAGTGTCCTAAAAAAGTCTTGCCCGCACTGTTTGTTCAAAGATATTTTTTGAAATGGAGAAATGAGTGAAGGAGTATGTGGTAGGTCAACCTTCAAGGTGGCTTCCCAGAACAAAATTCAGGTCCTAGATTTATGGGTGGAGAATCTGACCTGGGGAGAAAGATCCTAGTGCCGAGAAAGGAAAGAACCAAGTGTCAACCTGATCTAGCTGAATTATTCTCAGAGCTGTCCCCTCCTCTACTCCCTTGTACTCTACATTTTGTTGTGACTGTATCTGAGGTTGGTTTAAATAACAGAAAATATTTACTGCAGTTCCTCTCTTGGAGTTCTGGACAAGCAGGGGAATAAGTAATTCCAACAGTCCAATATCTATCTCTAAAGTCTTCTCCCAGGTGGCAACTTTCTGAAATACTTTGAGATCCTGAAGCATGAAATGATTTAAACTCAGGCTATAAGATATCCTTATCCTGAGAGTTATGCTGGCAGGGAAGAGGGACCATTCTGAGAAGACGTCCAAGGGAGCTGGAACTAATGGAACATTTGAAGGAACAGAGATTTCTGGCCCCATCGAGGGCAGAAGATGGCATGCCAGGCAGTGGGAGAGAGGATGTTCAGCAGATTAAGACACACACACAGATCTTTCCACGAAGAAAAATAGACGGAACGTTAGAGAAGCAGGGAAGACATTACTATGTTTTTGATTTTTGTAAGGGGATTGCTTCTGAGTTCTGTCTTTCCCTATCATATGTTGAAACATCATAGCCAAAATCTCCCCACAAGAGAACCTCTGTCACAGGGGTCCGATGCTCGACATACCAGATTGCTTTTTCTCTTTGCTGTCAGCGAGTGCTGGTCATCAAAATAGTTCAAGTTCTGGGAGCCCTGGAAATGCCACAGATTTGGGATCATTCTTCTGAATATCTTAACTTAGAGTGGTATCTTTCTTCCATGAACAACAATATGTGGGAAGAGGAGACAATTTCTCTAAAGAAGCTCATATTCTGAACAACAGGGACTTCTCACATGATCTCAGGTGCAGCAGGATGCCTTCTCTTCTTTTATTTCCTCTATGATTCTAACTACTCTTCTAAGAGCATCATTTAAAGAGAGAACAATCTAATGGAACCAATCAGAAGGCCTTCTGTGTTTAGGCAGCCATGGGCTGGATCAGACATCCAGGGGATGCTGGGCCACTGCCCTGTATTCCCTGAAGTCCCAGCCTGAAGCTGAGCCTTGGACTCACGAACCACACAGTTTCCAGTTATCCAGCAATTTAAATTTAGTAAGAGCCACAAAGGATTCTCTCCAGGGAAGTATTTCAAGTTTTTGAATTCAAGCATTTATTAACAATCTAGAAGAACTGTTATTAGGCGTGTCCAGGCTGAAAAAGAGGAGAATAAGAAAGACATTTAAAAAATATGTAATCTACTACAAGGGTCATTTTCCTCATGGCCGCTTGGGGCTAAGAATGTCCTTTAGAAATTCTCAAGGGAGCTGAGTTGTGATGCATTACTAAGCTCCAGGTCATTTTCTTTTTTTAAAATTTAAATTTAAAATTTTAAATGGAAGTATATTTGATATATAGCACTGTGTAAATTTAAAATGTACAGCATATTGATTTGATGCATTTATGTATTGTAATATGATTGTAATTGTAGCAATGGTTGGGACTTCTATCATACATATATCATTTGTTCTTTGTGATAGGAATAAAGATCTAGTCTCTTAGCAAGTTTAATGATTATACTACAGTAATGTTTTCTATATTCACTTACTGTAGATCTCCAGGAGTTAATTATCAACTAGTTGCGAGTTTGTACCCTTAAACAACAATTCTCTATTATCTCAGCCCCCAGCCCCTGGTAACTCCCATTTTACTCTCTATTTGAATTTCCATACTTTAATAACGAAACGTCAGAAAGACAAAATAAAGAAAACCACCCCATTCACAATAGCAACATAACAATAAAATGCCTAGGAATAAATTTAACCAGGGAAGTGAAAAATCTGTACAATGAAAACTACAAGACTTTGTTGAAAGAAATCAAAGAAGACACAAACAAATGGAAAGACATCCCGTTTTCATGGATCGGAAAAGTTAATATTTTAAAATGCTCATACTACCCAACACCATCCATAGACTCCACATTATCCCTATCAAAATTCCAATGGCATTCTTCACAGAAATAGAACAAGCAATCTTAAAAATTTGTATGGAACCACAAAAGACCCCAAATAGTGAAAGCAATCCTGAAAAAGAAGACCAAAGCCAGAGGCATCATACTTCCTGGTTTCAAACTATACTACAAAGCTAGAGTAATTAAAATAGTATGGTACTGGCGTAAAAATAGACACATAGAACAATAGAACAGAATATAGAGCCCAGATTTAACCCCCACATATAGAGTCAACTGATATTTGACAGGGGAGCCAAGAATACCCAATGGGGAAAGGACAATTTCTTAAAAACCGGTGTTGGGAAAACTAGACAAACATATGCAGAACAATGAAATTGGACTCCTATCTTACACCACTCACAAAAATTAATCCAAAATTGATCAAAGACTTAAACATAAGATGTGATGCCATAAAAGTCCTCTAAGAAAATATACGGAAGAATTCCTTGCTTTGGTCTTGGCAATGATTTTTGGCTATGACATCAAAAGCACAAACAACAAAAGCAAAAGTCAACAAGTGGGACTACATCAAGCTCAAAAGCTTCTGCACAGCAAAAGAAGCAATCAACAAAATAGAAAGGCAATCTACAGAATGGGAGAATATTTTTGCAAATTGTATATCAAATAAGGGGTTAATATCTAAAAATATAACTCATACAATTCAATAGCAAAAAAACCCCTAATTAAAAAATGGGCAGAGGACCTGAATAGATATTTTTCCAAAGAAGATATACAAATGGCCAACAGGTGCATGAAAAGGTGCTCAGCATCACTAATCATCAGGGAAATGCAAATCAAAACCCCAATGAGATATCACCTCACATCTGTTAGAATAGCTCTCATCAAGAAGACAAGCGATAACAAACGTTGGTGAGAATGTGGAGACCAGGGAACCCTTGTGCACTGTTGGTGAGAACATAAATTGGTTCAGCTACTATGGAAAACAGTATGGAGGTACTTCAAAAAAATAAAAATTTTTTCATCTTGCAGCACTGAAACTTTACATCCATCAAACAACAACTCCCCATTTTCCCCC